ATTTCCAAGCGCTCCCCGACCACCAGCAGCCGAACAATATGCCGGCCCCAACCCACCGGGCTGCTGGCACCCGGCACACTGTTACCCCAACGCCGGGATTTGCCTCGCGCTGCCGCTCGGCGTTGCTTCCGTGCGCTGGGTTAATCCGTAATGTTATTTATCAGGCCGGAATGCTTTTCTTGGATGGAGAGGGATCCAACGGGGATGTTTTTAGCACGTTTCCCAGAGCGCGGGGGTGACTATGGGCTGCGGCTCGGCGCTGCCATGAACATCCACGGGAAGATGCTCCGCAGGATGGTCAGGATGCAGCCAGCCCCGCTCCCTATGGCAGGTTTCCCCAGGCAAGTAGGAGCCCCGGATCTGGCTGCAGAGCTCAGCCCGTGCCGGCCAGGCTGCTCTGCTCCGGCAGCTGCATTGAAATGCCACAGGGAAAATAATCCGGGGGAAAAAAAAGAGCTTTTCAGGGGGCAGCATGCAGCGAGGGTCCATCCCCGGAGGGTCCCAGCACATCTCCCCTCCTGCAACCCGGCCCCCGCCCCACTCCTCACCCGGGTGGAGGAGAAATCCCTGCTGCGCAGACGGGCCCGCGGCACCACGGTGCTCACCCTGGGCAGCGCTGCCTGCACCGCGCCGGTGCCTACCGGCACCGTGGCCTTCGCACCGCGGCCGTGGAGGAGGCTGGGTGCGCATCCCTCTAGGCGTGTGTCCGTGTGTCCCTGTGCATCGCTCCCTGCTGCAGCTGCACGTCCCCCTGCACTAGAGCGTGTGCCAGGGCTGTGCCCCGCGGTGCAGCCGGCTGGCCCTGGCCGGCTGTCCTTGTGCCCCGTCCCAGTGGGTGCGGGAGCGTGCTGCGTCCATATGTCCCGGTGTGTGCAGGTCTGTCCGTGCGGTGCCGGGGCGCGGTGCGGCCGTGATGCCGGAGGGTCCCCACGGGCTGTGCCACATCCCCCGGCCGCTCGCCCTCCTAACTCGATTGTCGTCCCGGCGTAATGAATAGCTCCGTTGTAATCTAATAGCTTTTACAAGTTATTTAGATTTATTTGAGCATTTTCAATCAATTACGTCCTTTTATTTAAAAAAAAAGAAACCAACCTGCAGTGCCCTGCCGGGGACCCACGGTGGCAGGCACCGTCAGCCCCCGCTGTTCCCGGTACCGGCCCCGGCCTCCGCGCCGCTCCTCTACCTCCGCCGCCT